TGTAACCAGGCCTACACCCTTTCCTCTGGGTTTCGTGCTGCTACATGAGATAGGCATACGTTTTCACATATTTTTTTTGGCCATGTCTAAAGAGTTTTTTTTTTAGTGGTTTTTCGTATCTGGCGTAGCACAGTTTCAGTGAATACCTGCAATGCATTGAAGATTGTATTAGAATGCGTATATTACAAAAAATGCGGTGGGCATTTCGAGTTTTTCAGAGTGTTGACATAACTTGAAATGTGTTCAACCAAAGGCGTGAAATGTTGGAAAACTTTGGATGCAAAAAAAATCCACTTCGTTTTTACGCGAGAGTGTCTTCTTTGGAAGAATTACTAGGGAATGAAACCTTTACGGATTAACTTGAAATTTGGTCCGAAGGCTCCCAAGATACCAATCTAAAAAACCGAGTGGGGCTTTTCTGTTTTTCGAACTTGATCTCCCGCAATGGTCTCCGGCGTAACGCGTATCGGTAAAATTTTGATAACCGAACTTTTCAGAAAAATTCTCGATCGACAGGAAATCTCTCGACGGACAAAAAAATTCGCGATCGTATTTGCGAAACATAGTCGTGAAGAGACAAAAAGAAGTTCTCTAAGTCTTCATCGTTAACTCTCACCGATTTAAAATTCCATAACAATACAACAGCAATAAGCAGCTGTACAAACATTGTTACAATAATTAATGACACTTCAGAACGCCCGTAGACTTTCTCAAAGTCATTCGCTTGGTTTTCTGTTCTGGTGTGGTAGCTCACTGTCGCGCTACGCGCTCAAAAGCGCGACTCGTGAGCAAGTCAAGAACGCCTGCAACTTTTTACTTTGGGTTATCAATCCGCCTTTTAATTTCGTTAGTACTATGTGATGTCCCATGTGATTGTGTTTTGGCGCGAAACGCCCGCTGACCAGCTCGATTGACAGGACAGTTCTCGACCGACATAAAAAAGTTCTCGACCTTCAGGAAAATTCTCGACCTTCAGGGAAATTCTCGCTCGCCAAATATTTCTCGAACGGCAAAAAATTTTTTCAATCGGCAAAATAAATTCTCCTTCGGAAAAAAAAAAATTCTCGATCGGCAAAAAAAATTTCCGATCGGCGAAAAAAATTCTCGATCGGCGAAAAAACTCTCGATCGACAAAATTATTTTCTACCAAAAAATTATCAACTAGTAAAAAAAATGTTTGACCCATGAAAAAGTTTCCTCGATTCTTTAAAATATTTCTGAACTTACCACAAACATTTCTCGTCAGAGAGAATTAATTCTCGACCAATGAAAAAGTTCTCTCAATCGTCAAAAATATTTCTGGACCATCGAACATATTTCTCAAAAGACAAAATTATTTCTCGGCCGAAAAAATTATTCTCGACCATTTTTGTCCAGTATGGCTTTCCATATGCAGTTTCACAACGAAAAAATTGTTTGGAATAATTTATATTTTGAATAAATGAAAGTTCCTTCGACTGATTCAACTGTAAACATATACCCAATGTTATAAATTTCTGTTTCTTGTTGTAAAGGACTAAGATCAATTCCAAAACGGTTTTTATGCCGCGTGCGTGTCAACTTATTTATGACACATTTGCTTTCACAGATTTATTTCGAAACCAATTGTTCGTTGGCAACCAGAGTGATTTTATAAGGAAAACAAGAGAGGATTAAGAAGTTTTCTAACGGCTTAAGGGCGTAAGAGTGATTTGATAGGGAAAACAAGAGAGGATTACGTATGATGCACGATCCTCGCAGTAGATAGCGCTATTTAAGCAATAGCGAAAATCAGATCTGAAAAAAATCAGGCCTGTACGGGATTCGAAGCACTGACCTCTGCGATACTAGTGCAGCGCTCTACCAATTGAACTAACAAGGCAACTGGGAAGGTATCTATCGGCTTAAGGGTGTAAGAGTGATTTGATAGGGAAAACAAGAGAGGATTAAGAGGGTATTTATCGGCTAAAGGGTGTAAGAGTGATTTGATAGGGAAAACAAGAGAGGATTAAGAAGGTATCTATCGGCTTAAAGGTTGTAAGAGTGATTTGATAGGGAAAACAAGAGAGGATTAAGAAGGTATCTTTTTCCGTCTAAAAACCCTAATTTTCCAAATGAAAATCTCCATAGATCTGAGGTGTACGTTTTCGAGGTGCATCTACGAATTGATAAAGGAAATGGCAGCAAGCAAAAATTCCCTTTTATGTTAAGAATTCAAGTACTGTATGCGTACGTGCCCAAAACTTACCTCGACGATTTGGACTTCACTGTGATGCCTCGGTCATTTTAACCTAAAGAGAAAAAAAAAGGTCTATTGAGTTGGCCGAGACATCGTGTGATGATTTGTGCGAAATGTAATAATGTAATCACTTTAATACAAGTGACAAAATTGGCAGTATATTAAATAAAACACACAAGATCAACTCACGTTTTCACCACGACGGCAAACTCATCGATCTCACGTCGCCGACGTGAGGGCGACGGGGGGGACGCATGCGCAGTCAATCTAGCCCCAATCTTAGTCGGTCTCCACGTCGCCGTCGCCCCGAAAACGTCTGTATCTTAAGCTCCCTAATATTACAAAGCGTGACCGGGTTGGCTCGACAATGCATGCCTTGAATTAAAATATACCGCCAGATTTAAATAGCGGGATAAATGTGGTGCATTTTGATATATAATTAATGGGGCTTGCGCCGACTATGGCATGACAAAATGACTTCGAAAGTACTCTATCTTCCCTGCTTTCTTTCTGCTTGCTTCGTGACGCTACGGTGTCTGTGATAGGAGATCACTTTGAAGGTGAAAATGGCGATTTCAAAGCAAAGTTCAGCCGGGTTTGTCCTTCGTATACTTACTAAATCTACAAGTAAGTAAAATTTATTTTAATATGTAATTATATTTTGATCGAGGCGGTCAATCACTGAAATTTCTGAAATTCAAAAATTCTTGTATTTATTCTTGCAACTATTTAATTCATACCACCTCTAAGGAGAAAGAAAAAACCGGGAAATCTGCTATTAAAATTTTAAAGGAATCGGGCATCAAGGGAGTCGTGGTAAATAGCCGAATAATTTATGCCTCGAAGAAAAAAATTGGCTGCTAGAGAGCAAATTTGATTCCATGAAAATGGAAGGGAGGTGAGAGCGTCCGAAGGCTGCTTGAGCAGTGGAAATCAAAAACATAGGCCTTCACGGTGTACTTTCGAGAGTTAGACAAAGCCTCAAACCTCTTCACTGCAAGAGAATAAGGAGGTTAATGGGCAGAAAAGAGTCCTTGAGGAGAATGCTTTTAATGAAGTGGCAAAAAGGCTCAAAGTAGAGGAAAAACTCCAGCAAGCTCTTGCCAAATCAGAAAAGTCCAGTGGTTTTTACGAGAAGAAATTTAAGGATTTGGCTAGAAAGGATGCCAGGATGAATTGAAGAGGCCCACAATAGAATAAGACCTTCAGTAAATATACACAAAGGCACCATTCTAGAATTAAGACACAATTTAAAGATAAATGCTATTCAACACTCTCTTTTATTGGAGAGGGAGGGAGGGAGAGGTAGGGTCTGTGGCTGGACGAGCTTTATTGGTACACATGAAATGGCCGGTTCTTCCCCATTGTGCCTGTAGCAACGGCTTCACAGGGCTCCCCCTGTTCCCACAGAGATTGCTATAGGTGCGACCGAGTACCCGGCGGTATAACATGGGCGATAGGCAGACGGGCTAACATTAGNCTCGCTTTAGATGTGTCATTTATATGGATATTAAACAATGTTGGTCCCAAGAACGACCCTTGCGGGACTGCAAAAGAAAGATTCCGAAGTTCTGAAGCAGAGTCTTACAACATATAGCGATCTCCCTGAGAGATAGCTCTTAAACCACTGGAGTGTGTTCTCTTCTATTCCATAAGATTCAAGTTTCGCAAACAGGAAGTCGAGCTTCATGACATTAAACGCTTTTCTTAAGTCTGGGAAAACGCAAATGGACCTAATACCTCTGTCAATGGCAAATTTCCATGAATCCACTACGTTGAGTAAAGCCACTGCTGCTGAAGAAAACTTGGAATACGCGAATTGAATTGATGTTGTTCTATGAGCCCAACCTCGTGAGCAAAATTCAGCACAGGGCAATACCGAAATAGGTCGATGATTGTCACAGTCAGTCGGCGAGCCTCCTTTAAACAGTGGTGTTACTCTCGCTACTTTCCGAGCAGGTGGAAATTTAACTGTGCGAAGCGATTCGTTGAAAAGATGAGTCAGACTCTGTAAGATGCTAGATGCTGCCATTTTGAGTGCTTTCGTGGGAATCCCATCAGAACGTGTGGCTTTAGTTGCATCGAGGTCCTTGATAGCTTTAAAAAACTTCGTTTTCATCACGAAAGGTGAAATTGAAGGTTCTGACGTCTGAAACCACCGGCTCTGGAACAGCGTCAGATTGGAGTTCGTGACGGTTGGCCAAGAGGGAGGTTGAAATGGATGTTAAATAGGTATTCATGGCACTCGCGATATTCTTCTGCTTAGTGAGTTCTTCCTCGTCTACTATCAATAAATCAGCACCACTTTTCTGGCTGTTGCCCGGAAGAATCAAGTTAAGCGTTTTCCAGAAGCTCCGTGGGTTAGATTTGTAATCTTGTAATTTATCGGCGAAGTAATAAATGAGGTAACAAGATTACACGGTCGCCTGTATTCCGTCCAGCCCGATGGCCGGTTAAATTTTCTTGCCTTTCTGTGGAACTGATTACGCCTTCTCATCTTGACCAGTACCGATTTGTCAAGCCAGGGATTAGTCGACTTTCACACGCGCTTCCGGCGGATGATAAAAAACATCATTTTCATCCAAGGCTAAAAAAAAAAGACTACTTGATTTGAATAACAAGTCAATCAAATAAACTTGAATGTGGTCTGCCTGAGTTTCCTGCATGAGTGCTAACATGGGATGCATATAAATAAACTAAGTGAACTTTTCAAATCACTCGGAATGTTGTTAATAATATGTCCATGTCTTGTTTTTTTCTCTTTTAGGGAATAAAATCCAGAATGTCGCACCACGTTTTAAAAGTCGCGTTTTTAATCATTGGTATTTCCCTATGTGCACTTCTTATGAACACGATGACCCGCTTTGATGGATACGACGGTAATTAGATCGATAATCTTCTCCTTATTTTACGTTTGTTTCCTTGAAGTTCACATATGAAATTGATTTTCAATACATTTAGTATTCCTTTCCTTTTTCTTTGATCAATTTTTTTGTTTTTTACAAGTGACATATTTCATATCAAAATGTTATTAAAAGGCAACCGTGTTCTAATAGGCATAGTATTAAAACTAACAATGCACCAAAGCAGCCTTCTTTTTGGATAGATAGACCTGCGACTAGCTGATAAAAGAAACTTGCAATCAAGGCGAGACTTGCAACTGATCAAAGCTGTCTATCCTTGATTTCTCTAGAAATGGATTCCAAAGGAGTGTGGTAGAGTTTCAGCAATTCACGATTACTATTTTTTTTAAGCAGTACACCGTTCAAATCCATCGCCACTTGATGCCAGAGTTTACGACAAAGTCAGGATTTTTTTGTTGTTTATTGGTTACAACAGAAGCAGACACACCCTGCTTGCAGCTTTGTTAGACGCTCATCCACATGTTGTCGTTGCCAATGACCTTAACATCCTACAGCAGTGGATTACCATGCCTGGAATATTTCACAGGAAAAAATATTTTATCTATGAGCTGATTTATGCCAAATCACGGTATGATGTGATGTATGGTGTGCGCTCTAGAGCAGTAAACGGGGGCCCAGTACAGTATCATTACAACGTAAAGGGTCAGTGGCAAGGGAAGATTCATGAGAGTGTACAGGTACAGTTTTCATTTTGCTATAATCACTACTCTATCTCTTGTAAGCAGTTAACAAGAGGCACAAATCAACCAACGATTAATACTGAGGCGATCATGAAGTTACATAAACCAAATCAAGGCACTAAAAGCATTGTGGTACAATAAGTCGGAGAAAGCGATTAGTTTGTGCTTTGTGCCCAGAGACACACAAAGTTGATAGGTCAGGGTTTCAAAATGGAATTACAATAAAATAAAATAAAAAAATATTTATAATTGACAGGCGAAATTGAAAGAAGCATATATTAGGCAATCGTTGTTAGAGCCCAGATTGGGGAACCACGAAGCTCTCGAGTTAGCCCTCTTAAATTATTAATATATCAAATTTGCTATTATTATTATTATTATTATTATTATAATTGTAAATATCATTATTTGTTATCATTTGATTATTGGTTGAATGTCAACAAGACGATATATTCTTGGATCATCTTTCTCTTTCGCGTGGCTCTGTGTAGCAAGCTTTACGAGTGTATCACGTCATACCCGGATCACAAACTCGTGCCTGTCTTACCTCCTAAGAGAGAACACAGATATAATCTAAGACAGTCCAGGGCTTATGCCATGCCCCGTACACATACAAATCGTTTTAACAACACTTTTATTCCAAGTATGTGTACATAAAATTTTCTTTTTTAGACTACTATGTACATAGTCATATATAGAGAGTTTTTCGCATTTATGGTTTTATTATAATTTCAATTTGTATTTGGAACTCATTTATTCCTAGTTCTAAGTAATTGTAACGCAATTCAGTCTTCGGACTGCCATGTTCGATATTCTAATAAACTATCTATCTATCTATCTCTTGTGGAAAAGGGTACTTAGTCATAAATATGTGGGATGAGGTAAGTTTTCTGTTTTGCATATGAGAAAAATCTTCTGCAACACTACTACCTTCTAGCGTCATTATACAACTTCTAGTTCTTCACAATACCGTAAACATCGTGTTACACCAATAGCCACATGAATTCTTTTACCGTCTATTTTTAATTTGTCTAACAGTTAACAAATGCTTGCCTAAAGAACCCGGAATTACGGAAAGATCCTTCATAAGCTGAACAATGTTTTAGCGAGTAGATAATGAAGAAAAGAGAGGTTATTAAAACTAAAGAGAGGGGCTTTACCGAAAACATTTTTATAGAAGTAATGGTAAAGGTAATTTAAAAGGTTTCGAAATAAACTTTAAAACATTTGTTAAGTAGTATCTGATACGATCTGACACCTGTCAATTGGAGAGAAAAAAAGCACACGTTCACCTTTGAATACGCAACAGCACCAAAATGGCAAACCGACCCACGAAATAAAGGACTATCACGATAATCTTCTCTTAAAAAACGCTCAGCGATCTTACGGAAAGTATTAAAGAGATTAGAGAGATTTAGCACCGTGTTTACGAGAAACGGGAAACGTCAGCTGGCCCTTTTACTTTTCACGTTATATGGCGTGGACCCTGCTGCTTTAGCTTCGGGTAAGCTCACGTCAGGGTGGATTTAAAGGTGCCCGTGTATAACTTATAAGGAATAGATTTTGTACCCTTTTTCCGACAATTAATTTCTACTCTGTGAGAGAAAAAGTGAACAAAATCTTACGTACACGGCAAACAGGTTACTTTCACTCAGAAACGGCAAAGCGCAACCGGCAAGCATGCAAAAATGGCGGGAAAAAACGAGGTTACGTGGTCACTCTTGCCATTCACTTTTCATGTAAATCTCTATATCATTTTCGAGGACAACTCACCTTCAAAGATTTACCTCTGTTCTGTTGTAAATGTCACGGAAAGTCAAATCGTAAGTGAATTCGAATGTATGTTCGATTCTGAAGTTGTGAGAGTATGCTTTTTTGTTTTCTGCAATGGCATGTGTATAGTTTGTCTTTCTTCCACCGAAAAAACTGAAGTCGAATAAGACGCTTTCTCTAGCTAGACACAAGGGCACCTAATGTGACTTTCACTCGACGAATTCCTTCGGGTTCCTTTGTGAAATTTACGGTAGAAATATCCAAAGAGTTAGCGAAATTGTGTTTATAGATCTCAAAACTTCGCTCACCGTTTCATAAACGAACATACTATTTTTGAGAATTCAGACATTAATAAGTGAGAGTCACATTGATTAATGTAATGGCTAACTGTAAATACCTCTTGTTTCAATATTCTGAGCCTCCTCTTTCTAAATATTTATAAAATTACAAATGGTTTTAAGGCCGCGTGTCAATCTATCTCAAAGCAAATTTAGTAGCAAGAAATTTATTTGGAAATCAATTTTTGCGGCAAAAACAAGCTAATTCGAGAGAGAGAAGAGAAAACTAATGTCATATATTGGCTAGAGGTCGTAACCGAAATCTTTGCTTAAAAAGCTACCCAGCCGGCAAAACAACATATATTTATGGAAAATTGCGACGAGGCTAGAGATCTTTTGCAAAGCGATTCAACACAAACGGACCGGATGGGAGAATGCCGCTCGCTCTCGGAACCAATCAAATTGCAGGATTTGTAGAATACCACCCGCTCACGAACTAAGAAAAAAATTTCTTGATATCATGCTCGACCTCATCCAATTATTGCTTAAAATCTAATGCTTTTCTTGTAGGTCATAGGAGACAAGAAAGCAGCTCAGGCTTCAAGAATTTTGCTCGAAAGTGATGGAAGGGAACATCTTCGAAATTTAGAGCGTAAACTTGGCACAACGCTTAAATTCATTCACGTGGTCCGTAATCCTTTCGATAACATAGCAACTTTAGCGCTTCGCAGGGCGAAAGTCAAGAAAAACAAAGTCCAAGACAACCTTGAGGTAGGTAGGCAGACACTTGACAGTATGCCTCTGTGTTATATAGTCACCTATAGGGAAGAGGGAGGGGCGATTTCGTCGGTGGAATGATCATAATATAATAAGACGCTATGATGCCAACTAAGCTGGCGACCTGCAGTCTCACGGTAGGTTTCTTCAAGTCTTTATTTAACAAATAGGGCAGCCTAAATTGTGGTCTGTTTTGTTGTAAAGCACTTAGGAAGCGGCTAGAGCACGAAAGAATTGTAGAGAGAAATACTCGACTTCCGTACGCCTCGTGTTTCTCCCCACTTCACGTGTCCGTTTAATTCCCCACCCATTACTTTCAATTTTCAAAACAAACTTTATTTTCAAAGCAAACAACAGTATCGCCAGCATGCTCTATACTCTCATAAAGCAGGCTACGATAAGCCAATCAGAATCCAGAAAGGTTACGTTATCTGATAGGTTAAACAAGACTAAAGCTGTCAAAATTTCAAACCATCAAAGTTCACATCTGCAGTGGTCCATAAACTGAAATAGTTTGGCAGTTCGAATTTAATACTTTTCCCTGAAGTTTTTTTACTCGCAATCTGAAAGTGAAATGTTCAGCGAAATACGGCCGAATCGTGGTTCTTAAAAACACGCAGGTTTTTTCACATGAACATTAGAAAACAAACTGCTCAAGTGGTGTGTTTTGTGAACAAGAAGACTGCAAGGGATGACAGTTCCGTAAAACTCGGCTGCTGTGACTGATGTGGCCTTCCATTCAACACATCGGAAAGGATATCAGAACAAGCTCTTAGTTCAGTTCACTCTCAGTCGGAAGGGCGTTCAATGCAATTTCTGAGGCTTGCTTCACTGCGATTACCGGAGATCG